TTTTTCCTCTGCACTTTCTGTTATGGAAAAACCACACAAATTAATGTATTTTCCTGAGCTAATATATTTTTAGGCCTATCACTTTATGCCAGACCAGTGAAAAAGGTCATTACTTCATCATCTTAATGCAGGAGGAAGCCGACTGACCTCAGTGACTAGGTCAGTGCTGAGGGCAGGAGAGACCAGCAACTGAATTCCCAACAGCTGCACATAGAAATATAATTACTCACTGTAGATTAAGAAACCTGTGTGTCTCAGTCCTAAGGATGTCAGTTACATATTTTTGTTACTGATACGACTGCATTTTCAAATTGTGTTGTAAACAGAGTATCTGACTTGAGCAATTCCACTAATTTTGATCCCAGCCTATCTCTGATTTGTAATTTCACACTGTAATCTGTTCCAAGATGCACTTCACTAACTAAATGGACACACATTAATATAAATATATGAGTAAAAAGTACATTAGAATAGTAATATACCGCATCAGATCCTCGGAACCTCTAGGAATCAGGTGATTCCCATATGGTCCATATTTTTTAAGTACCCAATATAAGATTAGAATGTACTCAGAAACATTTATGAAGCTCTAAATGATGATTATCACATAATGATCAAATGCAGAAAAATGTCATGAGAAAATTAGCTTCCCTAATTGCTAACTATAGGGAAAAAAGTGCTAAGCTGATATATTATCAAAAAGGACAAAACCCAATGAAGAATAACATATCAAAATAACTATAATGAAATCCTTGAGCTCCAATAACTAAAGCAGAGATCTTACTGGAAAAAAAAAAAGTAATTGTGTAATTGAAAATGGTGCTCATAAGTAAAAATGTTGATATTTAAAATTATAGTTTTGGGTAGTATACTAAATAGCTTTTATATATATTACATGTATGTTAGCATAGTTCTTAGGGCATTATAAATCCTAACCATCTCCTGCCTTTCTGAATTTCCCTATCAAATATTAATTTAAGAAATTTATTTTATAATGAGAGAGACTTCCAGATTCTACAGCTGAAATTCCCAAATTCTTTTACTAGCAATGCTGATACCATCAGAAATGAAGAAGGTCTGATTTCTATTGCCCCTGAGGAAGTTATGAGACACAAATGGGCATCAATACAATGCAAAATCCCAGGTTACTAAATTCATCCTAAAACACCCCAAGAGCTGTAAACAATCCAACTGCAAGGACAGAAAGGAAAAGACAAAACAAAATAAATCAGAGTACCTGAAGGGCTCTTGCTGAGCAAACATTGGCTGACTTCCAGGGGAAATGCCAGAAAAGTAAGGCATTCCAAAAGCTTCACAGTCTCTTTTGGCTTTTAAAAAATTCACCATTCCAGTTAAATTCTCCACTACACTTTTATTTCATGAAGGGAACATTATAAATAAAAAGATCTGTAAAGCCCAGGTAAATGCCTTGCTTAAGGGACCATATGTTTTCCTAACCATACAACTAATTATTGCAAATACAGACAGGAACGTATAGGTTGAGAATCTTCAGATATTGTTAGTAATGACCTGCTGCAAGGTATGCTTCATTACAGGCTCTGATGTTTAGATAGCCAGATGGCATCAGTGGCAAAAGTGTCATCTCTCATCTGTACTTGCCTAGAAACCCTCCCCATATAAGATATGACTGGGTGAGTTCATCAGCTGGGACCCACACACTGGTTTTGCAATTACTGCACCTGAAACTGAATGCAGAATCTTGGTTTGCATAGACTGACTATAGCAGAGGACCAGAGTGCATTTCTGGTTTTGTGTGTACCTAGTGTTTTGTGTGTATCTGAAAGTTTTAGTCTTAATTTTTTAAGGAACTACTGGCTCAAACTCTGAGGCATGACAAAAATGTTTAGTCTATGAGTCATTATAGAAGGACACTAGTCTAAAGCAATGCAGATCAGAAAGCTGAGGATAAATCACACAGGGAGCTGCAGATAATAGGCTTTCTGAACCAAGGAGAAATTAGGCAGCATCATTAAGAAAGTCTGTGAAACTTCTTCAGAAAAGACCTTCTTTAGGAATTAAAAAAGCCTAGTGTTTAAAAAAACTAAAATGACATCAAAGAGCTATATTCCCTCCTACAAGTAATTTACTCTTATTTTGTCTGTAATGGATGGGCTGGAATGTGACTTAAAGTGGGGGGGGGGGGGCATGGGGGAGCGAAACAGCTGCTACTTACTTTCACATTATATTTACCAATGTTCTTATTTTTAATGCCCAGTACACTGATATTCTGGAAGATGTCAGCTCTGGCAGTCATTTTATTGCAAGATGAGGGCCTAGGTTAGGAACTGCCAAGAGGTTCAAGCTGAGAGTACAGATACAATATGGGCTTATAATTATTATCATGGCAAAGAGTATAGCAATGTGATCTGAACAATTTTGTTGAACTACTTAGGTTGTAGGTTGGTACAGTGTTAACCAGGGGTGATCTTAACCCCTTTTCAGAGAGGGCTTTCAATTTTATCGTCTCCTTTGTGTTGCACTATGAGGTTTTTGTAACCTTTCAAAGACAAAAATCCAACTAATTTGTTTTGTTTTAATTTCATTCAGTCACGTTGTTCAAAAAGGTAGTAAGCAACCTGCAGCCTGGGCTCATTTTCCTATTTCTCTGTAACATTAAATTTAATCTACATTATTTCCCTTTACAGTATTTATAAATTAAAACCATGAGCATGCCTTAGGCATTTGGATACTTTCGTGTATCAGTTCAGACAGATGAAACAGCTTTCAAGACAAGGCTTTTAAAAGTTCTTTCAGTCTGCCGCCTGAAGCAACTAATGTGCAAGACAGAATGGAGCTATGGACTGGAAGAGTAGGCTGGATTGTGTCAGTTGAGGAGACACCATGTCATCCTTCCAACTTCCTTACTTCCTTTATTAACAGATTATCTGCAAAAGCTTTGACTTGCCACTGACTTACATTTTGGAAAAACTGACCTTTTTCTGGCTGAGCTCACATTGGTTTAAATAAATCTTCAAGCCAGTGACCACAATTAATGAGTTTAAAATTTTACTTAGCATCCAAACCCACTATCAGGTGCATTCATTTCAGCATCAAAAGTTAAAATTCAGAGTAGATTAAATTTTGACATGTTGCAGTATACCAGGAGAATAAAGCTTCCCTCTTGCCAAAGCTCTTGCAGTATCAGGAATGCAAAACCCTTTCAAACAAGTTCCCTGTCAGTTACATTCTGAATGCACCAGAAAAACAGATAACCATCATCATCATCATCATCATCATCCTCCTGTTTCCACTGATATCCCATGACAGCTTCACTGTCTTTTTTTAGTGTTAAAGAATTCATCCCCAGAGCCTGGAAAACAGCTAGGAAATGTCTTGTAACACCATGACACATGTAGAAAGGTCAATATGTTTTCCCTAAGAGTGGTCTTAAATATGCTCCTGATTCCAGGCTGGCATCCCACCTCTCTTTCGCTTGCCTCTGGCCTAAAAGACTGTCTATGCTGTGAACTTTATATTCAAATTTCTCCCCAATGTCCATTCAACATAAACAACAAATTCAGTTGCTGATAAAAAGAAATTTAGTGCTGAAAATTTCAGAAAGGATCTTTCCAAGTTTATGTGGACAGTAGAGAGAGAATATTGTTTCCATAAAAAAAGCCCTGAATGTGGGTAGATAGAAAAAAGGGTCTGAGCATGGGCATAATGTGTACAGCTTTCTTAAGATTGAATGTAGCTCTTAAGGAGCAGAGAGAATTTAAAAGTTTAGTGTTTTCTAAAAGTTAAATACTTCAATTAAGTGTAATCCAAGACTTCCTTTCATTTGCTAGCATGATTTTCATCCAGATCTTTAAAAAGCTGGTAGAAAATTTATGCTTTGTAAACATGAATGGAGGATGTTAGAAAGCAGAACACAGAATACAGCAGAATGGAACGATGTGCCAGTCAGCACTATGGTGACCTACTTTGATTGTAGCAATCCCATTTTTGAAGATATGTCAGTATTTTTTAGAAAAGCAGGCACAATGAGGTGTCAGCAAACATGCTGGTTATCATTAAAGATGTTGCCTGATGACTGCAAATACTTGTCTGTATGACTGACAGGCTTAGTCAAGGAGCTCCCACATTAATGTGCAGTATCATGTTCCTAAAGGAACAAATACTGTTATGGTTCTACAGTAGGAATATGTGACACTGAGCAAGATGCCCATCTACAATAAAGGTGATGGTTTATGGATCCTTAGATTGCAAAAACTGGAGAGACACGTACTTTCAGATCACCAATGAGAGTGCTGCTTGGGGCTTTTTGTTTTGGCTTTAGACCCATTCCAACAATTTCACTGTATCTCCTATAAAAATGTTCTGTATACTGCCAAATTATCTGACTTGATTAAAAAAAAAAAAAAGTATTTTTCACAGCCATTGTCCTTTAAATAGAAAGTCATTACCCATCCTTATAAATAACGCACAGTCACATTCTGTCCTTGAACATTCTGTTCCCACACAGAAAACTATCCTACAACTGACTCTATTTATCTTATTTTACTTATAAAAATCTTGATCTGTGTGTTTGAAACAATGGATCATTACACAACTCAGAAGTTTACAAACTGAGGATAACATTACATGAAACTAACGCCAATAATCTACCTCCAGTAGCATTGTGAAATTATGGCCTAAACTGAAAGCAGTGGTGAACTGAGTATTTCCATATTTCTTTTTAGGAAATTTCTTTTTTTATTTTTTTTTAGGGAATAAGGGGTTAATAAACTAGGATGACTTTAAAACTTAAAGTATTTTCTGGCTCACTTACTGACAGTGAATCAATGTCATTTTATTGACCATGAGGACTACAAAACAAACTTTAGTTCATTAGCAAGTGAGCCAACAAAATATGAAAGTAACCTTGAATAAATTGCAGGCAGCATATTACTAGGCATGTGTTTTTACACTAAATTCTGAAGCTAACTGTTTAGAAAAATAATGTTTAGAAAGCACAATGAAAAATGAACAATACTTACAACCATACCGTTTAGGGACACCCAGCAATCTGGTGGGAAATCCTGAAGTAATGGTACTAAAAACTGTAGACAACCATCCCAGTGGCACAGCAGGAGCATCATTCCAATCAGATTAAAGATTCTCACCACTGCACTGGCCAGATCGTATGTCATGTGGAAAATCTGCAGACAAAAATTACAGGTGATGTACATGTTGCAAATCAGAAATCAAACTCATTTAATTCCCATCAGGCAGCTTAAAGGAAAAGAAGTGTCATCCTGAACTTCTAAAAAAGGTGAGGTTTCTAAGGCAGGATCATTAATTTGAGCACATTAATTTTAGCAGAGAACCATACTGACACACCTGACTCTTGGCTGCATGCCAGTGTTATGTAAGCTCATGAAAAAGGCATATATTGGATAGAAGTCACCCACTAAAGTGTTTTCTAAAAACCTCCTACTCCTTTCAATTGAAGCAAGACTCACAAATTAAAAAATACCACGTAAAGCTAGTGATACCATTACTTACCTATGAGTTTGGTATCTAAATACCCAAAAGTTTTTGGAGATTTAATGATCCCTTCAGAAGATTCATTTTTGCATTTATTACCTTCTAAAATGCACAAAATTCTTAGTGAAGAATTACATTTTTTGTCTTCTACTTTTATACTTTTAATCCAATTTGTATATACCAGTCATCAATCAAAAATGACAAAAAGGTAGCTGATAGCTCTTAATAATTAGCATTTCCCTAAAATGCTGATAATCCCATGGCTACTACATAGGCTACTGCAGTAGATAAATTCATATCAATTTAATACAGTAAGTTGGATTTCAATGTGTTCCTCTGTTCTTTAGACACAAACCATTTACATCTGAGAAGTGTCTTACAGTAAATCACACGTAAAATTCTCAAAAACAACAGAGACATTTTTAAGTTTGTCATGGGCAAATTTGCTGGACAGAATTTGCATAAAGAGCACTAGTCAGCTGTTGATATAGTACGAAAAAATGGATTTAGCATTGCTCTGCTATATTGGTTTTAATGTACTTCCAATCTATAAATACAGACATATTTCATACTTCTTACACAAGTCAACCAACTAAAGATAAATATATGACATTTTAATATGCATAATTATCAGGAGTTATATTTAGAAACTAAAGAATGTGAAGTTGGTGTTGCATAGAATTTTAAAATAATAAAATACTGTTTAGTAGTGTGACTAGACATAGAAACCAGAGGATTTAGGACTGAAAACATCAGATGGCTAGAGATATATGGGCACAGTGGTTCATGAAATTCTGCATATTTAAATAAAATAAAAATCACACATAAAAGAGGGAAAGTCTGTGTCCTAAATTTTACATATCTAAACTAAAAGCAGAGGTAAAGTATCCACATTGCAAATGAGTGCAAGTACAGATATGGAGAGCACATTGTGGTGTCATTAACTTTCTGTTCATGGGAGTTGGTTGTTGTTTGAAAATGGCAGTTTATATTCTGAGTCCCAAAATGCAAAACCTGCATATTAGAAACATACTTCAGACACTAACACTGTGTACAAAACATGTTTTTCAGTCTAGAGGGTTTAAAGAGAATGCATTCCAAATTTCAGTTCAACAGTCATTGGAAATAGAGGCTGGTAACATAAATCCTATCCAAACACCATCTAGCTGCTGTCAAAATTGAGAAGATAACACTGATATTTAGGAGTAGGAAATGGAAATAAAGAGTCGCTATTATGCATTTTTCTTTCTAAGCAATGGATTTGTGTTACAGGCATTTCAATAGCTTCAGTTTCAGTAGCTGTTACGAACCAAAACAGTGGATGTGGGCACAGAAATTATTTTATTTTGAAGAACTGGAAAAAATAGCAAGGATTTCTACTTTGTCAACATGGTTCCTATACTACACCTGCAAAGAGCAGGTAATCCCTGATCACATGAAAAGTGTTGGAACTTTTTCCCTCAAGTTTTCCATTAGGCTTTGCAGTAAGAGACTCAGGGAAAGACCTGATTGCCAAAACTCTCCAGAGTTCAAAACCCAGCAATCATATATACCTAAGGTTCCGCATCCTCATCCTGACTCTGCATCTATGGGCTTAGGAACTGCGCTGCTGTGTTTGGGTTCTTCCAGGACTGTCTCATCTTGTCACTGTTTTCTTCAAAGTCTTTGCATTATTAGTGTGCCTCTGCCAAAATGGCCACATACTGCAAGAATGCTAAAAGGTTGGAAATGTTGTATGAACCCAAATCCATCAAAGGAAATGACTGCCAACAGTCTGTGTACAGCACTGCAAACTTCCATCATCTCTGAAACTTTGCTCCAGAAGTAGCTTCTGTGAAGCTTAGTGTTAAAATGTTGAAAATGCTTGAACATATCCAGGATATTGTCTAGACTGCATAACATGGTAATATTTTATCAGCATTTCAAACATACCATTCTTTTATTGCTTATCTTTTGCCTATTATAGCTTAATATTTCTGTAGTCTATCCTAATAACTGTGATGCCTCTGTGCTAAAAAAATTACTCCAACAGAAAAACCTTAAGCAAGTGTTGGAAAAACATTAAAAAAAGTCTTTGCATACCCACTCTGCAGTAAATAGTATCTGACAGTTTTTCTTCAAAAAGGAACTTATGGAAATGTGTCTTTCGTTGGAAAAAAAAATTAAATACTGCAAGCATACATTGTTCAATGTAAACAATAATATTTGTTTGTAGTATTGTATTGACATATTTACACTTAAGGGGTGGGAGGGGTGGGATGTGTTGATTTTTTTAGACTATAGCCAAAATACCCTGTGGACTGAAGTCACATACTGCATGTTTAATGTTCTTCCATTCAGGAAATGATTGTGATACCATGAAGCATGGAGGACGAGTAGAAGAAACCAGATTTTTATAGCATTTTTTTGGTAATCACAAATTACAATTCTCGTATTAATGAGATAAACCTCATTAAGACTACTAGGAGATATGTGACGTGTGGTTTTCTCAGAGATAAAGTGGAGGACAGAAAACTAAAGCCATTCATTTGAGGAAATGGTGGCTTAGCCATCAGCGGGTCTTCCAGTGGGATAGAAAGAAATACAAGAAGACCACGAATCAGTTTACCTTGATTTTGCAGAACAGATGTGTACTGAAATCTCTCTATTTCAACAAGTTTTTTTAACAAGATACTATTCATAACAAAAATAATTCAAGCATTTGCACACAATTAAAGTTAAGCTCCTAAGCCCTTCACTCATGTAGTTAATATAAATGCTTGGATATCATTAAACATTTACCATGCAAAAATGCTATGCAAATAAGAGGAAATTACACCTGCAAAATCCATTTGAAAATCTGGCCACTTTATTTAGATTCCAAATTTCATACCTAAATATTCAGTTTAACTAGAAAGACAGTAAATTTTGGATGACATATTTCTAAAAAAAAATTCTAGAATTACTTAGGATTACTGCTCATGAGAAAAAATTAAAATCCTCCTGAGAACTAACTGTTCCCACAGTTTTGTTTCATATAATAGGAAAAGCTTCATAAATATTTCTCCTTTTTAATTACTACTCAACTTCATTTCAGTTTTTGTTATGTTTTTCTGTATGCATTTGGCTATAGCACTGTCATTTTTCATAGTTTCCAAATACTTGAAAATTTAAAAAATCTAGCCTGTGAACTCACTTCTTTTAACTCATAATTTCTTCCTTGATTAATTTTACAGGATTTTATCAATAGCCTGGAAACCTTTTTTCCTGAATAACTGACAATGCCTAGGACAATGGCTGAAATGGAGCCACAGATTAACAGTTTCCAGTCTTTTGGCACAATATTGCTCACAGAGAATAAGAAATTGCTGAAGAAGTCAGACTTCACATGTTTTATCTCAGTTTTCACTCACACTTTATTAATGACCCTTTTTATTCCCACATAAGAAGCAGAAAGCAGACTACTCTTTCCTCACATTTGTAATGGAGTGTATATATCATATTGGTCCTGCTAACTTTGATTTTTGAGCCTGAGATGGAAAAACCTTTCCAGTCTTACCAGCCCATATGCTTAATTGCATTTTAGGGCTGTCATTTTAAATTAGTAGCACACGTATTGTTTAACCAAGCGAACACAAAGCTGTAGAACTGCTGTCATTCATGCACAGGTTGCCTCTTCTGCATTTTGGTAATGTAGTATTCTGGTAATGTAGTATTCTGCATTCTGGGATGTAGTATTTGTTTAGTTGTGATTTTTAGTTCAATGCAGAATCACACAATCATAGAACCATAAAAAATATGGAAAAGACCTCCAAGATCAGCAAGTCTAACTTCTGCCTGAACACTACCCTACCAACTAGTCCATGGCACTAAGTGCCATATCCAGTCATTTCTTGAACACTTTCAGGGATAGTTATTCCACTGTCTTTGATTTATAGGTTCAGTTTATCTAAAAATTAATTTTTATAAATCATCAGAATTTAATTCTGATTAAATGAAGAAAAAAACTTTGGAATCTCCTAGAAAAAGAAATGTATTCAAATCTCACGTCATTGAGTTAATGCAGTACTTCTCAGAAGTACTAAAGGTGCTTAGCATCACAAAGCTGTCTCAGGTTTAGTCTTCAAATGGAGACCTGCAAACCTGCCGGGGCCAATATGAAATGGAACTTGCACCAGGAGAGCTGAGGAGTCTGGAATCTTAAACAGTGGGGAAAAAGGGAGAGCTGCTCATGTGCAGCTCTGGAAGGCATGCTGAAAGCTGTGCTTCCAGCAGTGAAACTCCAAGCTAGACTGCAGGGCAAAATAACAGCTATGAAAGTGACAATGGTTTTTTGGATTCTGTTTCTGGGTCAGCCCAAAATTATTAGTTTTATCCCTCAGAGCACCAACTAAACAGAGATTAAAACAGTAGGATCTGAATTCTCCTATCTGAGCTGAATGTTTACTTTTAAGATAGCAGCTGCAACAAAGCTTCCCCAGAAATAAAATAATATAAAAGGGAGAGCACAATGCCTCTTTTTGCGCATTCATCTCTCAATCTTCTTTAAACCACGAAAGGCAACCATGGCTTTTTTCCTTTATCTATTTCATATTTGACAAATCAACTTCAAAAGATATTCTTCATAAATATCACTTGGGATACCACGAGTCTGATTCAACTCCTACCAAAGCCAGTTTCTTTAAGAACTGCA